TCTATCTATCTATCTATCTATCTATCTATCTATCTATCTATCTATCTATCTATCTATCTATCTATCTATCTATCGTTCTATCTATCTATCGTTCTATTGTTCTATCGTTCTATCTATTGTTCTATTTATCTGTCTATCATTCTATCGTTTGTTCATTCTATTATTATAACTATTCTATTGTTCTGTCGTTCCATCTGTTATTCCATCTGCCATTCTATCTATCTTTCTATCACTCAATCTATGGTTCTATAATGCTATCTATCATTCCATCTATCATTCTATCTCTTTCATTCGTACTAGTTATGTACCGTTCTATCATTTCATCTGTCTATCTGTCTGTCTGTCTGTCTGTCTGTCATAATCATGATATCATAATAGCGATTTACCGTTCTTTTGTTCCATCTATCATTTTATTCATTGCTCTATTCAAACTACTGGTTACTTTGAAACTACTTTCAAAGAAGGCTTTGTAAAAGCAACATTCAAGGTCTATCTTGACAAACTTAGCTTTTATAGTCAGATGAATTTCTATGAATTTCCATTCATTTTAAATTAACGTCTTTACATTGAAATTGCAATTTTGCTGTTACTGTTTGCAACCTTAATTCAAAAGCAGAAACTGATTGTGAATTTAAAAGCCATTCTCACTTCACTTCTGAATGGCACACAGCCCTAATTCAAAGTCAAGTTAGGACATAGACGTCCAGTTTGATTCCTGTCATGTGTTCAGAGCATAACATGGTGAGACATAGACTTTAAGGTACTCGATAAGACCGGATTGGATTAAAACGCCAAAAACAAACATAATGGAGCCATGATGAGTTACATAGAGGAGTTGTTGCACAGTGGTAATCTGAACGTGTCAGCTGCCCGCGAGACTAGATTACCACTCATGTCTGACGCAAAGAATTCCAGGGATGTTCCATCTGATCAGCCGTTGCCGCGGGAGATTTATTACTTTCCAGACTCCATCCCCACCTCTGCCAAACACACATACTCACACATACAGAGCCACTGACCACGTACAAATTATTTTTAGCGTAAAGACCTGGCAAAGAAAATCGTAATCCAAGGAGTGACATCTGGCCTAGTAGTTTATGGGATTAACATGGGCCCTTGCTCCTAATAGCAATAGCGGATGTTCCTCATTACTTGCTCCATCAACAAATTGCCAGAAAGGTCCTATTTATTTTCAGTTAATATACTGTATATAATTTTGTATATGGGTTCTGTGGTGAACAGAGTATATATTTGGTATATTCAATATATTTGATATATTAAATGCAAAGATTATTGAAGCTGCAGTGCAAGCTGGTTTGGTTAATGCTATAGATGATGAATAGTGCATATGTAATATAGGTTAGAGGGGATTTATGGTATCAAGGCTATTGGATATACAGTGTATATGTAGTATAGATTGTATGGTCAGCGTCTTTAGATGCTCAATCAACTTTTAAAGCCCAAGAATCCCTGGACTTTAGCGCTAAAGCCAGATAAATACTGAAATCATTTAGTGGTGTAGTCAAATGTAAGAGGTGGAAGGAGAAAAGAGAGTTTGAAAAGTGAAAGAAAATGGAGAAGCAGAAAGGTAATTTTGAAACTGTAACTATCAGGAGTCATAACAATGATGAATTGTTCATATAAAGTTTCCTCTGTATGTTTCCTGTCTTGGGAATTTTGTTGCATCAAGGAATTCCTCAAACCAAATGAGATTCATTATCTGCTTGTAAGATGAGACCACAAAGGAAAAAAAGTAATTATTCTAATAGAGATTTATTTTGTATGGAAAGCATCGAAGGAGATCCATTGTATATTTAACATCCTCGGGCGGAGAGGGATAGAGATTATTCTAGACGGCTCTGGTTGTGCTGTCAAGCTAGACGATTAGTGAGAAATGTTGCTCTCCCTCATGTCATTCCAACCCTTTTTGCTGTTATTGTTTCCATGGAACATAGAAGTTTTTACAATGACAGTTTATAGTAAACACTGTGGTACCAAAAAGGTCAAAAAGCATCATAAAAGGAGTTCATATGAGTCTTCTGAAGCCATATGATATCTCTGTGTGGGGGAACAGTTTTAAATTTAAAGAGACAGTTCACCCAAAACTGAAAATTCTGTCACTGTTTACTCACCCTTGTCCAAAACAACATTAGACACCATTGATATTTTTTTTGTTCAACACTTCAAAATATCTTCAGAAATAGTTATACATGTTTGAAACAACATGCAAGTGAGTAAATGACACAACTTTAGTCATAGCAACTGTCCCTTTAAGTGGTTATTTGCTGAAAATCTATACTCACAAATCTACTTTTATGATACTTTTATGGTGCTTTTTTTGTCACTTTTGGAGCTTGAAAGATATATTCACAATGAACTATATATAAAAAAGCTGCATGTCGATTCTTCTTAAAATTTTCTTTTTCTTTTCCACTTAAAATACAGGTTTCAAAATGACATTTTTCAGTTGAACTAATTCCAAATATTATATAACATTTAATATAATAGTACATAAATCACCGCTCATTGCATCCACTCATAATTCTTCATGTCAATCACTCAGGACTGAGAGAGAATGTGAGAACACGTTGAAGGTTTTAAAACACTGCATGTATATTTTTGTGTCCTAGAGATCACAAAGGATCTTACATAGGCAGATTGTCATAATTGAGATGTTCTGCCACAGGAATGCAATAAAAAGAATCATGCATTACAGAAGCAGTTTAGGTGTGAACTGATATGCATGTGTGGTGAGAAACGCTGAAGGAGCCTGGTGTGCTAATTCAGGGCACTTTGGAGATTCTGTAAATAGTGCATTACAGCATGCTCTGCATGTAATCCTCTCAGTACTGTAATCATTATTTTAGCACTACAAACAGTGCCGTTCGTGAGGGCTATTTCTGGACCGTTGTTTGCTTGGAGAAATGTTGTCTGTGCTGAAGCACAGAGAGTTCCTGCTCAGTTCTGCTTATGTTGTTTTGTTTTGAGGATCTGATGTTGAGATGTTATTCAGATGTTTCAGGTTCAAGCACTTTTTCTATTTCAAATGCCTCTGGAAAAGTGATGTGCATCCCCCTGAGGTAAACGTTGCAATGTGTTGCATCCATGGGCTACATTTTTTTCTTTTAGGAAATTGCAATCATTCCTTGAGACTCACGCAAATGGCCCTAGGTTTGACATGGACCTTTGACATGGACCATTTTTACAGAAATCCTGGGGGGCCAGTAAAGAATCAATATTTTCTGTTCATGCATTAATATTGCATTTTGGGCCAGTTCAATTCAGATTTGCACTGTGCGGACAGTAGGAAAGTGGCTTTTCTATTTGAGGAGGTCCCAAAAGGAGGTTTCTGGAACTTCTGGAAACATTTTTCAACAAATTTGTCAAGGTTAGACTCCAAAAAAGAGATTTTGCTAGATTTGCAACAGGAGCAGTCAAGCCATGAACGTTATAATACACATATAATACAAATACGAAAAACACATATATTTTTCTCACCACATGGATTCAGTTTATGTAGAAATATTCATAAATATATAGGGTGAAATCAGTCCAGGTGTTGCCCCGAAGCTGACTCCGTCAGCTTTAGTTTCAAGTCTGAACACTGCTGAGCAATCAAAGAGAAAGTGTACAAGGTATTTGTACAGCGGCTATTTTATAAGTTAGCATCTGGACTCTGACTCTATTAAACTGGCCTGCCATGACCTGTAGGATTTTTATTTAAAGCGTATACTCGAGTTTCAGTCCAAGTTTCACATTCCCTCTCTCGCTCTCACTCTTCCTCAGGTATGGCCTCGCAAGTGCAAGTCTTCTCCCCTCACACTCTCCAGTCAAGTGCCTTCTTTAGCGTGAAGAAACTGAAGGTGGAGCAAAGTTGCAACTGGGATATGACAGGGTACGGCACGCACAGCAAGGTCTACAGTCAGAACAGCAAGCAGAGTGTCTCAGTCGCCCCAGTGGGCATCAACGTCGCCAGTCTTCAGGTCTCCAACTCTTCCCTGTCCTGCGAACAGGCCCTCCTCTTCCCGGCCAGCTCGGGGCACATCGTAGTGGCCTCGGCTAGCAGCACATCTGGGGTGGCTGGTCAACTGTTAGGCAGCACCAGGAGTAGTGGAAGCGGCAGCGGAGGCCACAACCTGACGCGCCGCAGCACCGTCAGTCTGCTGGACACGTACCAGCGATGCGGGCTTAAGCGGAAAAGCGAGGAGCTGGACAACAACAACGGCAGTGGAAGCAGCGTGCACGTGGTCGAGGAGCAGCAACTGCCCGCACCCATGATCCAGAACAACACGCAGAGCGGGGCCACCGTCGCGACTGCGACCGCCTCCACCACAGCCACGTCCAAGAACAGCGGCGCCAACAGCGAGGGCGACTACCAGCTCTTGCAGCACGAGGTGCTTTGCTCCATGACCAACACCTATGAGGTGCTGGAGTTCCTGGGTCGAGGGACGTTCGGGCAGGTGGTGAAGTGCTGGAAACGCGGCACCAGCGAGATCGTGGCCATCAAGATCCTCAAGAACCACCCTTCGTATGCGCGGCAGGGCCAGATCGAGGTGAGCATACTGGCGCGGCTGAGCACAGAGAGCGCGGACGACTACAACTTTGTTCGAGCGTATGAGTGCTTCCAGCACAAGAACCACACGTGCCTGGTCTTCGAGATGTTGGAGCAGAACCTGTACGACTTCCTCAAGCAGAACAAGTTCAGCCCGTTGCCGCTCAAGTACATCCGACCCATCCTGCAGCAGGTGGCCACTGCCCTCATGAAGCTCAAGAGCCTCGGACTGATCCACGCTGACTTGAAACCTGAGAACGTCATGCTTGTAGATCCAGCCCGCCAACCCTACAGGGTCAAGGTCATTGACTTCGGCTCTGCTAGTCACGTCTCCAAAGCGGTGTGCTCTACCTATCTGCAGTCCAGATACTATAGGTAAGGCGCTAATGTTGTCATGCCCTTTGTTGGAATTTGCTCCTCTTGTTCACTGTTAGTTTTTCAAGATTTCTGTACTTCCATAGTACTACCTTCTCTTCTTGCAGGTGTGTAGCATAAATACATTTGTGGATTTATTGCTTCCGCCATCTTGAAATTGTTCTGTACTTTGACATAGATGGCAAAAAAGGACTTAATTGTTTTTTAATTAGTCCTTTTGACTTGTTTTGCAGTAAAGTGTACTTGAGAAGCAACAATACATAAGGTATTAAGACTTGTTTTGTATCCTGGATAAGAGTGGATTTTGTCTTGTTACACTTTTCACGAAAGAGTTCACCAAAAAAAATGAAAATTCTGTAATTAATTACTCACCCTCATGTCGTTCCAAACCCGTAAGACCTTCATTCATCTTCGGAACACAAATTAAGGTATTTTTGATGAAATCCGAGAGCTTTCTGACCCTGCATAGACATCAGTGCATCTGATACGTTCAAGACCCAGAAAGGTAGTAAGGACATTGTTAAAATATTCTATGTGACATCAGTGGTTCAACCTTAATTTTATGAAGCTATGAGAATACTATTTGTGCTGTCTATGCGGGTTTGGAACGACATAAGGGTGAGTAATTAATGACAGAATTTTCATTTTTGGGTGAACTATCCCTTTAACTGGTTTATACTTTAAAAACACCTTTATAAAAAGATTTACTCTTATGATACCTTATGTACCAGTGGTGTAATGTAACAAAGTAATAATACTTTGTTACAGTACTTAAGTATATTTTGGGAGTATCTGTACTTTACTTGAGTTTTTATATTTCAGCCAACTTGTACTTTTACTCCACTACATTTCCTAATTAAAATGTATACTTTTACTCCGATACATTTCCCCGAAGCATATTCATTACTTACTACAAAATAATCAGAAGAACACGGACTGCAGGAAAGCAGGTTTGACGAACCAGTGGTCTGGCATTTGCAAGTTAGACTCAAGTTAGACTCACAAGTGCGTGCACAACCGCGGATGATTAATTTTCCACTTAAGTCGAGTCTGGGGTGTGCGATATACAGCATCGTCTGCGATAATATGGGAAGTGTTGTTGTAATGATGTGCGATCTGACATTATCAAGTATATCACAGAGAGTGCACGCACGTGATTTATTA